GTGTAACAAAAGTATTTGTAAATATGAAAATAAAATCAAATGCTCTTGTTTCGGGATTAAAAAACTTCCACGCAGAAGTGGAAATCACAGAAACACATGTAGCAAATACATAAAGTAAACCTTTGCAAGTGTAACAAAAATAGTTAAGTATTTGTAAATATGAAAATAAAATAAAATGCTCTTGTTTTGGGATTAACCCGCGATAGGGAAGACAGATCTTCGGCTTGGGGGAACTCACAATCCTGTTGCTCCCCCCAATCTGCTTTGTGGTTGTGTGGGTGAGGTTCCCCCCCCACCTGCAATCCCTGTGGTCTGTGGGGCAGAGCTCCTGATGCAAAAGGCGCTGGCGAAGGAGGGGAAATGTCAGCGATGGGGGCCCCAAACCAGAAAGGCAGTAGTGACCGAGTCGGTCAAAGGGCAGAGATGAGAAGCTTTAAGCCAGGCAAGGGTCAAGCCAAGAAACTGCTCAAGGACCCCCTTCCTGTCCTGGAGATCGGCCCAGGGCGTGATGCTATCACAGCCCCCGTCTCAAAGGAAGAATTGCCCACTGCCTTTTCCTAGATTTAATCACGCACTCCCTGGATCCGTCAATGTAGACTCCTTGGGCTAAACCTCAGGAATTACGAATCGCGGTGCAAGAAATATCCCGCCGGCTGCCTTTGGCACTCAGATTCCACTGCGTTTGACTTGATGGCACACAGTATTTACAACCAGTTATTTCACATATTTTTGGGGCATCCTTTCCTGCTCCCAGAAGGGTGTCCCTTGTGTGTTGCTTCCAGAAGTGTCACAGCCATGCGAAATCTGTGCTCCCCCCCCCATCCCGCCATTGTTTGGGACCTCTTTTAAGGCTTGTCCTTCTTTGTGAAAGTGATAGGGGGCATCTGTTATCCCTGCCGGAGAATGGGGACCAAAATTGGGAGGTAACAAAAAGGATTGGGAACGTTGGGCGTCTTGGGTGGATGGGTTAGGGTTGCATTGTGGTGTTGTAAACCGCTTGGAGAAAGAAAGGCCTTTGCACTAAGTCAGCGGCGTATAAATAAGTAAATAAATAAATTAACAATTTTGTTTACCATTTTTATTGTGACATTTGTTTGAGTCTTTTTAATATTGATATACTTGCTATCTTTTAGGGGTATAAGCTGCCTCAGGACCTTTTCTAAGGAGAAAGGTGGGGTAAAATATTTTAAGCATGTAAGTAAGCAAGTAAATAAAAGCGATCAAAGTGTGTTGTCCTAAGACTCCGAAAGACCTGCGTTCGAATCCTCAACCCACCACAAATCTTGGGTCTCTTCGCTGGCTTTTGGATCAGCCTACCCTACAGGCCTATTGCAAGGATAATTTTGATTTGATTTGAACAGTCTTGCAGAGGAAAGCCATGGGCCCAGTCCGGAGCTCGCTGCAGGAAAGACGAGATCACGGTCATAAATAAATAAAATTCCCAATCAATCAATCTTTATTTTAAGGCCTCCCACCCATTAAAATACATGCATATAATATTTCGGCGCCAGGTCAAAACCTTCCTGTTCCAGAAGGCTTTTAATTGAAATAATATCAGCTGTGGGTCTGAGGACAATTTTTAGAATATATATATATTTTAATTGCATTTTAATTATTTTGCCCTTTTATTGTATTTTAAATGTTGTAAGCCGCCCAGAGACCTTCGGGTAGTGTGGGCGGCATATACGTTAAATAAATAAATATAATATTTAAAATAAGTGGAAGCAATTAAAACATTTCACAGACAGTTAAAATAGTATAAAGTACTAAGATATATTACCCATCCCTTGTTTTTTATATTAATATTATGTACAATAAAAAATAAATAAAATTAAGATAGAGGTTAACCAACACAATTGAAAAAAAAAAGGAATTTAAAATAGGGAAGCCTTCGAAATCATGGTGAAAGGCGGGGAAAGAGGCGCGGGAGGGAAAGGGTTAAGCCGGCCGCTCTGGCCTCTCATTGGTCCTCCCTCCCGCCGGGCCGGGGCCGCTCCCTCCCTCTCGCCTCTATGGTTCCGGCCTCCGGAACTACAGCTCCCAAGGATCCGGCGTCTTCCCGGAAGTGGCGGGGAAAAGATGGAGCGGCCGGGCGGAAGCGCGGCAGGAAACGCGCCCCCGCGCCCCTCGGGCTCCCTGATCGGCTTTCCTCGTCCCTCCATCTTCTTTCTGGGCTCCCTGATCGGCTTTCCTCGTCCCTCCATCTTCTTTCTGGGCTCCCTGATCGGCTTTCCTCGTCCCTCCATCTTCTTTCTGGGCTCCCTGATCGGCTTTCCTCGTCCCTCCATCTTCTTTCTGGGCTCCCTGATCGGCTTTCCTCGTCCCTCCATCTTCTTTCTGGGCTCCCTGATCGGCTTTCCTCGTCCCTCCATCTTCTTTCTGGGCTCCCTGATCGGCTTTCCTCGTCCCTCCATCTTCTTTCTGGGCTCCCTGATCGGCTTTCCTCGTCCCTCCATCTTCTTTCTGGGCTCCCTGATCGGCTTTCCTCGTCCCTCCATCTTCTTTCTGGGCTCCCTGATCGGCTTTCCTCGTCCCTCCATCTTCTTTCTGGGCTCCCTGATCGGCTTTCCTCGTCCCTCCATCTTCTTTCTGGGCTCCCTGATCGGCTTTCCTCGTCCCTCCATCTTCTTTCTGGGCTCCCTGATTGGATTTCCTCGTCCCTCCATCTCCTTTCTTGGCTCCCCAATCGGCTTTCCTCGTCCCTCCATCTTCTTTCTGGGCTCCCTGATCGGCTTTCCTCGTCCCTCCATCTTCTTTCTGGGCTCCCTGATTGGATTTCCTCGTCCCTCCATCTCCTTTCTTGGCTCCCCAATCGGCTTTCCTCGTCCCTCCATCTTCTTTCTGGGCTCCCTGATCGGCTTTCCTCGTCCCTCCATCTTCTTTCTGGGCTCCCTGATTGGATTTCCTCGTCCCTCCATCTCCTTTCTTGGCTCCCCAATCGGCTTTCCTCGTCCCTCCATCTTCTTTCTGGGCTCCCTGATCGGCTTTCCTCGTCCCTCCATCTTCTTTCTGGGCTCCCTGATTGGATTTCCTCGTCCCTCCATCTCCTTTCTTGGCTCCCCAATCGGCTTTCCTCGTCCCTCCATCTTCTTTCTGGGCTCCCTGATCGGCTTTCCGTGTCCCTCCATCTTCTTTCTGGGCTCCCTGATCGGCTTTCCGTGTCCCTCCATCTTCTTTCTGGGCTCCCTGATTGGATTTCCTCGTCCCTCCATCTCCTTTCTTGGCTCCCCAATCGGCTTTCCTCGTCCCTCCATCTTCTTTCTGGGCTCCCTGATTGGATTTCCTCGTCCCTCCATCTCCTTTCTTGGCTCCCCAATCGGCTTTCCTCGTCCCTCCATCTTCTTTCTGGGCTCCCTGATCGGCTTTCCGTGTCCCTCCATCTTCTTTCTTGGCTCCCTTATCGGCTTTCCGTGTCCCTCCATCTCCTTTCTTGGCTCCCTGATTGACTTTCCGTGTCCCTCCATCTTCTTTCTTGGCTCCCTGATCGGCTTTCCATTTCCCTCCATCTCCTTTCTTGGCTCCCTGATCGGCTTTCCTTGTCCGACTCCCCCCCTTTCTTCCATTTTGCCTGCCTCCTGAACTTTCCAAATCAACCCCCCCTTTTCACTATGCCACCCCCCTGCAAGTTTTCCTTTCCCGGTTCGCCCCCACTAAAGTGTCTTCCATTACGGCCACCTCTGATAGCCTCTTCTCATTTCTTTTCCAGCCCTTCATGTGGACTAGCGTACTGGCTCCCCATCTTACCTGTTCTCCTTTCTTGGTGCTGCTATGTGGTTTCCCCATTTCTCTGTCTGCCTTTGTGCACAATCCCGCCGGCCCCACTCTTTATGGCCCTTTTGGGCCCGTTTCTCTTTCTCCTATATATTTATGGGTTCCCCCCTTTTTCTCTCCTCACTTCTAGCCCGCTTTCCCCTTTCTCATACCTTCCGTCCTTGAGGGACGAACATCCCTCTTTATTTTTTCCCTTTATCAACTTCCTCCCACAAATTCTTGTCTGGTGTAGAATTTATGAATGTTGTTTTTCTCATCTTTTCCTCAGTCTAGGACGCATCACACGATTTCCCCCTCCTTTCTTGTATAATATTCTATTTTTAAAAACTTAAAAAGATGCAGGGTGGGGGGAAAGACCTAAAAAGAAGACATAACCCTTAATAACGCACCACCACATAAACAATCCTATAATACGTAATTGTGCTCCCCTCTGCCATGACCATCTGGAGCTATGATCATTCCTGGGGGGGCCCTCCATTGATGGAGGCCCATTTCTCTTTGGAAACTGCACTGATTTCTGCACAACCCTTCCCTTCTATTAACACAACATATCCCCAACTATCAATAAAATATTCTCCCTTATCTCTGCTTCTTTAGTTTGATATTACATGTTAATTTATCCTTCATAGCTATATCCCCAACTTTTTTATAGCATTCATCTAGTTGAAAATCATTCTTAACATTCCAGTTTCTTTCTATTTTATTAACAATATTTTTTCCCCCCGCCTTTCTCCTTGAAAGGACCCAAAGCGGCTGCTCTATGTAATCTTGCTGCTGAGTTCCCATGTAGGTTTTCCCCATTCCTTCGCCCACCTTCTTAGCCTTTCCTTTCTCGTCTCCCTCAATTAAATTCTCCTGAACAGACTCTCCCTGCAGCTGAAGTGCTTGCAGGTTCTTCCATCAGCTCCCTGACAGGCTTTTTGCTTGCCTTTCCTCAAAGCAGAGTCCTCTGGTCCTGCATTGGGCTTCCCTAAAAGGGCTCATGGTCTATGGCTGAGACAACAATATGATCCTCAGTGCTATTGCATGTCTCCCAGCAACGGGTATTCTGAAGCCAGTTGCCTTGGAACCCAGAGGTTCCATCGATGGCTCATCATCCTTTGAGCAGTGGTCCCCAACCTTCGGCCTCCAGATGTTCTTGGACTTCAGGTCCTAGAAATCCTGGCCAACAGAGCTGGTAGTGAAGGCTTCTGGGAGTTGTAGTCCAAGAACATCTGGAGGCCCAAGGTTGGGGACCACTACCTTGAGGGATCTGGCCGGCGTTCAGCAGCATCTCCATCTTGAGTCCCCAGCTGTTCCTTGGCCATCTGCAAGCAGAGTCTGTTTTGGGGCGGGGTGCCTTCTCCAGCATGGTAGCCACCCTCTTCTCTGCCTCGGCGACTCTCAAAGAACGTTCCTGTCCTTCTCTTTAGGGAAGTGTTCAAAGCCAAGCACCGTCAGACCGGCAAAAAGGTGGCCCTGAAAAAAGTCTTGATGGAGAATGAGAAAGAGGGGGTAAGTTTTGTGTTTCTGATGTGATGGGAGAGGAAAGGGCGGTGGGGAGCCTGGGAGGTGAGGCGGCCCACGTTGTACATCTGGACTAGGGACGTGTAGGCGCTGCTGGGTTCCAGTTCCCATCTTCCCCAGCCTGGTCACGATAAAAACCAGTACTTCCTTCACATCTGGAGGGCCAGTCTTGATCTCCATCTTTGGAATGAGATGCAGAGGGAAAAATTGGTACCACTTTTAAAAGGTGGTTCTGTTGGCCCCTCTGCTCTCTCTTCAAACTGACCAAACGTTCTCTGGGAAGGAAAAAAAAATTCTCTTTTCTTGAACCTGCTGGAGAGCCCAGTGGTTTTGGCATCTGGTGGGGGTTCAGTTCCCCACCGTGCTTCCCCAAGAGGGACTGGAATCCATAATCCAGAGAGTCTCTTCCAGCTCTGCAGTATTACGATGATGATGCTGGACTTCTGATATCTCCTGTTCAGTGGTTACATCCAAATGGAGACTCCTGGCTTGCTTTTCCTTCCATCAAAACAAACCAGGAAAGAAATAGTTCTCAAAACATCTGGGTATATTTACCAAAAATTTAAAAAAGCACACAACCTGTTTTAGGAAACATATACACAAGTTCTTTTGCGGATGATGTTTCTTTTTAGGTATTGTTTTCCTTATCCTCTGTGGCTTTTTCCCCCTTCTCTTTTTAAAATTTTCCTGCTTTTATCATACCTGGATCTAGACACTTACTCAATCCAGAGAGTCTCTTCCAGCTCTGCAGTATTACGATGATGATGCTGGACTTCTGATATCTCCTGTTCAGTGGTTACATCCAAATGGAGACTCCTGGCTTGCTTTTCCTTCCATCAAAACAAACCAGGAAAGAAATAGTTCTCAAAACATCTGGGTATATTTACCAAAAATTTAAAAAAGCACACAACCTGTTTTAGGAAACATATACACAAGTTCTTTTGCGGATGATGTTTCTTTTTAGGTATTGTTTTCCTTATCCTCTGTGGCTTTTTCCCCCTTCTCTTTTTAAAATTTTCCTGCTTTTATCATACCTGGATCTAGACACTTACTCCAAAAGCTTCAAACTCTGCCTTTTTTTTAGAAGAGTGAAAAAGGATGGCTTTTTAAGCCTTTGACTGTTGATCAGGAAAGATGGGGCCAAATGATAGGCCTAGCCTGAAATATTTGGAACATGTGATGAAATTAAGCCTCATTATCCTCAGCTCTCTCTTTCTTTTCTCCCTCTCTTTTTATAGTTTCCGATCACGGCCCTCCGGGAGATTAAAATCCTCCAGCTGCGGATGATGTTTCTTTTTAGGTATTTTTTCGTTGGCCTCCGTGGCATTTTTCCCCGTTTTTAAATTTTCCTGCTTTTATCATACCTGGATCTAGACACTTACTCCAAAAGCTTCAAACTCTGCCTTTTTTTTAGAAGAGTGAAAAAGGATGGCTTTTTAAGCCTTTGACTGTTGATCAGGAAAGATGGGGCCAAATGATAGGCCTAGCCTGAAATATTTGGAACATGTGATGAAATTAAGCCTCATTATCCTCAGCTCTCTCTTTCTTTTCTCCCTCTCTTTTTATAGTTTCCGATCACGGCCCTCCGGGAGATTAAAATCCTCCAGCTGCTGAAGCACGAAAACGTGGTGAATCTCATTGAGATCTGCCGGACCAAAGGTAACAAATTCACATTTAATGGCTTTCACTAGACACTTACTCCAAAAGCTTCAAACTCTGCCTTTTTTTTAGAAGAGTGAAAAAGGATGGCTTTTTAAGCCTGTGATTGTTGATCAGGAAAGATGGGGCCAAATGAGAGGCCTAGTCTGAAATATCTGGAAGATGTGATGAAATTAAGCCTCATCATCATCCTCAGCTCTCTCTTTGTTTTCTCCCTCTCTTTTTTATAGTTTCCGATCACGGCCCTCCGGGAGATTAAAATCCTCCAGCTGCTGAAGCATGAAAACGTGGTGAATCTCATTGAGATCTGCCGGACCAAAGGTAACAAATTCACATTTAATGGCTTTCATTGGTTCAACCAATCTACTTTTTAAAAAGTCATCAAAAAAGAAACTGGCCCCTAGTAATCAAACAGAAAATATATACATGTAATTTCCCCCCACGCCTTGCAAATGCTTATAAAAAGTACAGCCTCATCCTAAGAAGAGGAATTCACACAGAAGCAAAATAACTTTTGAAAACAAAACGTTTAGCTTGTCCTGGAAACATGCAGTGCAGAAATACATGCAAAATGTGGTTCTTGTTTGTGTACGGAATTATATGCAAGACGTGTTCCTGATTTCATCTGGGAGTTGCTTCATCTCTTATTTAATTTTATTTTTCCTCTGTTGCCTCTCGCCGTGCACAGGAGCGTTTTCACACTGTGGGTCACCTTTCTCTGAGATGTCCTTGGCGTCAACCCAGGTAAGCACAACTTGAGCATTGAAGGCACTTTTCTGTGGTTCTTGCAGCTTCCCCTTACAACCGCTGCAAAGGCAGCATTTACTTGGTCTTTGACTTCTGCGAGCACGACCTCGCCGGCCTCCTCAGCAACGCGCACGTCAAGTTCACCCTCTCCGAGATCAAGAAGGTGATGCAGATGCTCCTGAATGGCCTCTACTACATTCACCGGAACAAGGTGAGAGCATCTCTCCCCCTGCGGGGTCCCTCTTTCCGAAGCCAGGGGGGAATCTGGCTTCGTGGATCCTAGGACGTGTGTCTTAAAAAACCCTCCTGCTCGTGGCTTTGTGGATCCTGGGTTCTCTGTGGCTTCATAGGACGTGTGTCTTAAAAAACCCTCCTGCTTTTGCCTTCTCCAGATCCTGCACCGGGACATGAAGGCCGCTAATGTTCTCATCACGCGCGACGGCGTCCTCAAGCTGGCCGACTTCGGTTTGGCTCGGGCGTTCAGCCTGGCCAAAAACAGCCAGCCCAACCGCTACACCAACCGAGTGGTGACCTTGTGGTATCGACCTCCCGAACTGCTTCTCGGTAAGTGAGCACCTCACTGATGCCTGTCAGTCTAAAAGTAACTTTCATTTCCTGCCTTAGTATTGTGGGGGAGTGTTTGTGGGCCTCTAGTGTCCTTGAACTACAATGCCTATCATTGTAGTCCAATAGCACCTCAAGGGCCACTCATCATCCCTGACCACTGGCTAGGGCTGATGGGACTTGTAGTCCAATAGCACCTCAAGGGCCACTAGGCTTTTCCCCAGTGCCTTCCTCATCAGGCGTGCACTACGTGGATCAGAAGGCTCATAATTTATGCTTAAGGCTCTCTCTATTCCCAAGCAGAGTTGACTCATTGGCTGTTTGAGATTTTACATATGAATTGATTTACCATTCAGTTGTGGATTTCACTGGGCCCACTCTTATTGGAGTTAGGCCTTCGGGCCTACTTTACAAACTTCTTTATGGTAAATCGAGAGACTTCTGTTACAGAACCCATTTCTTTGTTAATTTTAATTTGCCATCTTATCCTCATTCTTCTACGTTAGTCTTTCATTTACAGTGCTGCCTTGCTTAACTATTGCCTTGTTAAACGACGAATCCGCTTGACGATGAGGTTAGCAATCGCAAAACAATGTTTTAATGGGCAAAAATCTCTTCCTTATGGTTGTTTCCCTGCTTCAGGAACTGATTCTTCGCATTACGACGATCAAAACAGCTGATTGTCAGGTTTCAAAATGGCCGCCCCTGTGTAAAATGGCTCCCCGCTGTGCTTTAGGACAGATTTTTCGCTGCATAGGCATCAGAAAATGGCCGCCCTGTGGAGGATCTTCAATGGACGCTGAGGTATTTAGCCCATTGGAACGCACTGAGCGGCTTTCAGTGCATTTCAAGGGGCTTTTTTATTTCGCTTGACGAGGATTTCGCTGTACAGTGATTTTGCTGGAATGGATTATCTTCGTCAAGCAAGGCACCACTGTATTACAAGACTTCGTTTCTGGAAATGAATTGATCTCTAGAGTACTAGTAGAAGCAAATTGTTCAACATCGAGTTTGTAAAGATCTAAGGAGAAGTTTTTTGGGTTTTTTTTTCCCTATTTAGGGGAGCGAGATTACGGACCACCCATTGATCTGTGGGGCGCAGGGTGCATTATGGCCGAGATGTGGACTCGGAGCCCCATCATGCAGGGAAATACGGAACAGCACCAGCTCACCCTCATCAGCCAGCTCTGCGGATCCATCACCTCTGACGTAGGTTCTCAAAGCTGTGAGGGTCAGAAATGAGAAATCTCATGTCCCTGTTACAGGACAAATTCTTACCAGTCTACGGCAGGGTCATTAATCTTGTGTTCTGGTTTGTTAACTGGAGCTGTTCATAGATTGCAAGGGATATGATTTCCAGTACCCTAGCTGTTGAGTTTTGAGCTAATTGCCACTTGTGGACAGTCTTCAAGGGCAGCCCCACATACCACATATTACAGTAGTCTAAGTGACCTCGTCATCTTTCTGTTTACACCATGGGTAGATAAAATGTGGCCCACTAGATGTTGAACAGCATCTCCCATCACCCTTGGCCAGTACAGCTGCTAGTGAGGAATGATGGGAGTTGTATTCCAACAGGGCATGAAGGCCTGTATTTTGAGCATGCTGGTTTCTCCTTTTTTTTGCTTATTTTGTTCTCAGCATGGGTAATGCAACTACTGTAAATCACTAAAAGGGGCTTGTTTGCATGCTGGATCTGAAATTGAGTGCTTTCGTTCATTAGATTCAATCGTATTTATTTTCTTAGGTCTGGCCCAACGTGGATAAATATGAGCTCTACCAGAAGCTGGACCTGCCCAAGGGGCAGAAGCGCAAGGTGAAGGAGCGGCTAAAGGCTTACGTCAAAGACCCCTATGCTCTGGATCTCATAGACAAACTGCTGGTTCTGGATCCGGCCCAAAGGATAGACAGCGACGATGCTTTAAACCACGATTTTTTCTGGTCGGACCCGATGCCCTCTGACCTCAAGAACATGCTGTCCACTCATAACCAATCCATGTTCGAGTACTTGGCTCCGCCCAGGAGGAGGGGCGGGCACATGCCCCAGCAGCCAGCCAATCAGTGCAGGAACCCGGCTGCGAGCAATCAGACTGAGTTTGACCGAGTGTTCTGATACCAGTTTGGAAGAAAGAAAACAAAATATTATTTTTTAAAGTACTGTGACTTTTTTTTAAAGCCCTTTATTTTGTATGGAACAATGGAAAACACTGAGTTTTGGCCATTTTTTTAAAAAAAAAATTCCTTGTGAAACAGGAGACGCGAGCGATTTTGTGACAGCTGCATAGCGAGATAAAAAAGCAGAGAAAAAGGCAACAAAATTATGCTGAATTCTGCACGGTCATAGAGTCTCAATGTATTGCATTTCTCCCCTTGCAACATGCTGCCTTCCAAGGTCCTGAGATAATCTCGTGTGACCCTCAGAGAGCCAGGGAAATTGTTTTCACTTCCTTAAAAGGAGAAATGGCTTTCCGTTTGTGGGTCACCCACTCCGGAGCCCCGGAGGGCTCTGTTCAAAGAGGGTGAGCCTCCAAGCAGATGGCAACAGCTGAGTGATTCTCCAGCTTTTGCAGATAGAGAGAGAATCCTTTTCAGGGTTAGATGAGAACAGCAGGTACGACCACTCGGTTCTTGAGCCATTGTGGGCTATCTAAACCTCTCGTCCCCTGTTTTTACATCCTTTTTTTGCTGGTGGCCCGATGCTATTCAAAAAGCTCTGCTCCAAGCCTTTTGCGTGGCTTCTGCATTTTGAAAAAGAAGATCAACATAATCTTGATGGAACTGCCAGCGAACGCTCATTCTCTTGACTCTAGAAAACATGGAAAGGATTTTGGTTTTTCTTTTTCTACTTTTCTTTGTTAAGACCTGGAAGATCTGGGTCTCGGCGACAGAACTGTCTATGATTAAAATCTTATCATGTTCTTGTCTAAAAAGAAAAAAACGGTACTATGATGAATGGTGTAACCTGTAATTAAAGGTATTTTTGCTTTAGTACCTCAAACTGTATGAGACCTCCTTGGTGTTTGCTTCTCATGTCCTCTCCTCAAAAGTTCAGTGGGGTTTTTTAGTGAACGTTCTTTCTAAAGGGTCATCACCTGCGTCAGTCCCAGCTGATGCTAAACTTGTCATTAAACTACGATGCCAGGCAGATTTTCTAATCGATCTTCACTCCGATAAAATTGAGCAAGTGGGTCCTAGATCAGATCAAATCCTCAACCATCTCTGGGCGCAAAAATGTTGAAACTGAGGCCGTCCTGCTTTGGGCACATCCTGAGAAGGCAGGATTCTCTGGAAAAGACAATAAGGTGGGGGAAAATGGAAGGCAGCAGGAAAAGAGGAAGACCCAATGGGAGATGGACGGACTTCCTAAAGAAAGCCACAGGCTTGGGTTTACAAAAGCTGAGCGGTGCAGTTGAGGACAGGGGATTTTGGAGATAACATATTTGGCAACCTGACAGCACTTAACGACAACAGAACATGTCCCTGAAGGATAATAAAGCAATATGCCAGTTAGGATCAAGGGTGCAAGCTTTTGGGTTCAGCAGAACTCTTTCTCAGTTGGAATGTCAAGGGAACAGATCCATAGGCGAGAGGAAGGTGGGAGACAACCCACCATATTTTGGATCTCCCCTTGCTAGGAGCACCATGCCTAGAGAAGGAAGCCTTGTATGTTCACACTTAACACACATAATAAGAAACTGAAGAAGCTTTTTTTTTCAGGGCTGTGTCTCCTGCTATATATTCTTGGACTGGGACAAAGAAACCATGACTCACTCTTGGGAAAAGCAAAAGCCAGTTGGCTCTCCCCCCCCAAAGCGGTAGGCCTGTGGAAGAAGCAATCCCCAACGTACAAGCCCTGCTAGCGAAGCTGGAGTGGGGTTCTAGGTTAAAAATACATCATCCTCCACCTCATCTCAGAACTGTAGGGCTGGAAGGGACCCTTTGGGTCATCTAGTCCAACCCCTGTTAAGGAAGCACCATGGGAATCGAACTCCCAACCTCCAGATGCCGAAACCCCTGGGGCTATCTGGCAGGTCATGCATGGTATATTCTGAACACACAAGTGTGGGCTGTCGGACAGAGGGAAGGTTTTGTCAGGGAGTGAGCTCAAAAGGAGGTGGCCTGCAGAAAGTTGAGGTTGATGAGAAATCTGAAAAATGCAAAAACAAAACAAAACACTAAAACAAAAAAACGGTTCAGAGGCATCAAACATTCGTGTAAACATTCGTGCGCACTCCCCCTGCAGTGATTGAATTATGCCTGCGATTTTGGTTCCTTTCCCCCCCCCTTCTAATTCTTGAGTTTGGAAAAAGTCATAAGGGTTGTTGCCTGTAATTGATTTTTGTGGGGCAAAACTGCTACAAAGTGACATTTAGCAAACCAACCAACCAAAGCATCTAACGCAACGTGTGGGAACAAAGTTAACTTTCCGGGTGCAACAAGCTACCGTTGCGAATTACCTTCAGAAGTTATTCAGGGTATATTTAAAAATTGCTTTTGGGAGGTGTTTTATGCCATTTCCTGTCAATCCTCCTTTTAATGAATAAGGAGAAAAAAATAAAATAAAAGATTTAAAAGGAGCAGCAGTAGCAGCAAAAAAAATTAATGATATAAACAAATAATCAGTTTTCAACACTAATGAACACCAAGAACTGATTACTTTTCAAATAGTAACAGGAAAAAAAGTTACTTTGGAAATTAACTTTCCGAGCTCTCTTCAGTTCCAGGTCCTCCCTTCTTAATGGTGACACGCCGTGTTTTCTGAAGCAGA